CGGGTCCAGCCCCTGCCCGAGGAAGGCAGCCTGAGCAGGGGCTGATAGTGGGGGGTGCAGACCAGGGTCGTGGCTGCCCATGGATGCCAGGCTGCCTGTTTCCACCCATGCTGGAAACCAGGCATTAGGTCTGCGGGTAACAGACCCCCAAATGCAGCCGAGGGGGATCTGGGATGGGGAAACGGGGAAGGCAGGTGATTTATCTAGCAGCAATAGCCCTCCGGATTGACACCGGGTTGTACATCGAGGAGGTCGCCAGTGCCGTGAGTTGCTGAGTCTTTGCATCGTTCAGGTCATTCCCTCGCACGGGGGTGTGCACCGCTGCGGGTTTCTCCTGACGACGTCTCGCTCTCCCCCGGCTTTCTGGGCTGGCCGGCGTGGGCACGTGCTCTTCCCAAAGGCGAGAAGAAAGCGGAGGTGTGGCAGGGGAGCAAACGGGGATCCTCACCTGGCTCCCTTAGCCGTGCCCTTTGTGGCCTGGGGACCAAAGTGCTCCCAGCCCAGGGAGAAAGACCCACCAGCCCCCGAGAGAGAGAGGAAAAAAAAATTGGCTGCGTTCGTACTTAGCATCAGGAAGAAGGGGAAAAAAATCTGTGTAGCCGGCAGTTTTTGTAAAGCGTTGAAGTGCACCACACATCACCCCCTGACAGGCCCTGATGTTAGCTCCCAGAATGGATCACAGGAGACTCATTAGAAAAAACAAATATTATCGCACGCTGAAATGATTTATGGAGAAAAATGAAAAATTTTGTGTTGTTGCGTCCTCGCTCTCCCGCTCTCCTCTGCTTTCGCTCAGGGAAGTTATTTATGGCACCGGGCCCTCGGCTAGAGCACGGCACCGCTCCGAGCTGCTTGCTACTGCAAACTGCTTGTGTTTGGGTTTTATTAGTGACTTAAAACTTCCTTCTCCTCTCGCCACCCCCCCTTTTCTCTCTTCATTATCCCAGATTAACTGAGATTTCATGTCTGCCCCTTGCACGTTGAACAGTGATCCTAGCACCACCCGAGCGGTGCATAAAATGCCGTAGACCCCGGGAAGGCAGGCAGGCCAGCGTGCCTGCCCCGCTCATCTGCTTGGCACCGGGACCTTTGCGGGAACCGGAGTGACAATTTATTGTCAAAGAGGCAAATGCAAAAAGATCTGGGTCCAGATCTGAGGCCTGCAGCTGTTCATCACATAGATGCACCAAGCCAAAAGGCTGAAGGAGCAAGCTAGGGAAAGACCCAAAGAGCAATCCCCCGTCACCCTAACTTGTGTAGCCCCTGGGAGGAATTAAGCTCTGGCAGGGGGCGAAGGGCAGGTCTCCACCCGCCGCGACACCGCGTCATTTGAGGCCCGAAGAACGAGATCTCTAGTAAAACCACCTGGGCCAAAACCATCATGGTGGGAGCTCGCCTGCTGTCAGGGTCAGGAGGGGTCTGCACGCCCCAGGGCCTGGGTTCAGATCCCACCAGAGCTCATGGTCCGTCTGCCCCAAAGCACCCAAGTCGCCCGCAGCTTGAGCGATGCACGGTGCTGACCCCGGAGCAGGTTTTGTGGGCACACGGCGTTCGCCTCCGGTCCCCTCCTCCTCCCGCCGTGCATCGCAGATGCCGCGCGCTGCTCCGGACGTGGCTGCATCCCAGCAAGACATTCGGGGCTGTGGGGTGCGTGCTCCAGAGATGGAGATTCATTGCAACTGGGCTGCTTTTTTTGCAAAAATATTTATTCCTATATATATATATATATATACACACACACACAACTCCACCTTCAACACTGCCGAGTGGCCCTTGTGGTGCAGTTGGCAGCTCAAAGCACACTAAAAACCTGAGACGGAGACGTCCCTTGTGACGTGCCCAGGACCAGGCTGGTCCCCACTGGCTCGCTCTGGCAACGGAGCGGGGAGCGGTCGGCCTGGGAGCTGTTCCCGGCCCCAAAAGAGACCTGCGGTGTGATCTGGACCAAGGGACCATGGACCGGATGCGCCGCTCCTGCATGTTCAGACCCTCTCCACTGCACCCAGCTGCTCTGCTCTGTGCCTCAGTTTCCCTGTCCCTAAAGACGCTGCCCTTGGCCGAGTCCCCTAAAATCAGATGGGGCCTGGTGGGATCCCAAGGGGGTCTCATGCCAGCAAGCCCGTGGAGACCGGTGGCCCGCGAGCTGGTGCTTGCTGCCCGTCTGGTGCAGGGGCTGCAGCAAACCCAGCACCGAAAGCTGCCCTTCCCCTGCCGAGAGCCCTCCACCATCATGCTCCAGGGTAAATACTGGGGGGGGAAACACCCCAGTCCCCAAGCAGGAAAGGTGGGACGTGCGCATGCTTGGGGTCGGCCTCATTGCGGAGGCACGTCAGGGCCGTACCCCCCTTCTCCCCACTATGTGCCCCTCTCATCTCCTCCTGTTGGGTCTGGCTAAGTGGCTCTCCTCGAGCGCCTCGCACATGCAACGCGGGGAAGCCGGGGTCTCCCTTTCGGGGCACGACCCCCGTTGCACCCCGGCTGGGTGCGGGCCCCCCCCGTGGTGGCTGGCAGGCTCCTGTCCCCTTGACACGGTTGCTAAGTGTCCCCAGGGCTGCGGCGAGCACGCCGGCCCTGGGCCTCCGCCTGGAAACTCTCTGGGTGGTGCACGGCCCTATTCTTCGCGCGGCCGCTCCCTCTCTCAGCATCCCCAAAGCAGTGCAATAAGCTTTCCGGAGCGATGGTTATCGCCTGCCCTTTTCCTCCGCTTCCTCTTTGTACTGAGCCTTCCACGTGAGCTGAGCCCCAGAGACCTCCCAGCCCTTGCCCCCCTCCGCGCTCTTCCCCAACGGGGCCTGATTGTCTTTCAATGGAGCCAGGAGCGAAGCAGGGGTTAATACCCACTGACACCTGCAGCTCGGCTGGTGCTGTTGACATGGGGGTAGGGGGAGGACGGGAGGGCTGGGGGGGCCGCGGGGAGAAGAGATCGTTGGTGGCTTTATTATGAAGAGCTCAGCAGGCCTGGGGCCGTCTATTGTCCAAGTGGCAAATAAATAAATAGGAGAAAGCAAGTCTTCCCTATGGCTCAGCAACGGGAGGTTAACAGCTGGACATGACATGACAAATTGGGCATTTTTCCGTGGGGGCTGATCTTAACAGCTCTGTGTGTGAGAGCCCGCGGGGAGGGGGAGAGCCCGGGGAGAGGAGGGAGGCAGGGACAGGCTTTCCAGCCAGCATCCATTTCACTTCGGAAGTCACTTGGCCTTGTCCTGCGTCACGTCGCGCTCCTCTGCCCAGCCCCGGGTTGAGGGAGATGCTCTGGGCTGGTGCCCCGAAGCCCCGGGTGATGCTCTGAGCTGGTGCCCAGCCCAGCCGGGGCAGAGGGAGATGCTCTGAGCCAGTGCAGGAGTTGCAAGCCATGAACCCGTGCTGAGTCGGGCGAGGCTGGGTCAGGGCCGCGGTACCGCGCCGGTCTCTGGGGCGCACCAGGAGCACGGCGGGCTTGGCTGGCTGCTCGCACCTGGGCACACAGAGGACGTGGGTCCAGCAGTGGATCCGCTGTGAACAGCGCCCTCGCCGCGCTCGGCCCCTGGCCTTCCCCCTCTGTGCCTTGCTGGGGGATGACCCCGTAGAGCGAGGCCTGGATCCTGCACCGTTTGCCCCGGGGCTTTGCCGCGGGCGTGTGAACCCTGCAGGAAACAGTCTGCTGTCCCCAACGCGCCGGGTGTCGCTTGCTCATATGGCTCAGGTGGAGACTTGGCTTTATTCAGGGAGTTATGCAGGCTGAAAGGCCCCGCAGTCTCCCTCTTGCAGCCATGGGTGCTAACTCTAGGCCTTCAACTGTGCAGCGTCCAGATGGGGATTTGGGGCCAGGGGCCGCAGGAGCCGGTGGCACCGTGGCAGACCGTGTAGCAGCCCGGAGGGAGGTGCAGAGCTCAGGTGAACCCCCCCAGCCCCATCCCGCAGCCCCCGACACGGGGTCCTCGGCAGCGGAGGGGAGGGGAGACCCTGGCCTCGCTCCCCTTGGAAACAGCCAGCCGCAATATTAACTGCAAGAATGTGCCCGGGCTTCGCCCCCAGCCCTCTGCCCCGGCTCCACTTCCTGGGGGAGGCCAGGCGGAGGAAGGCAGCGTGTTTGGACAGCCCAAGTGTCAACTAATTAGCGGGCGGTCGCAGGCCCATTTCCCGGGCAGCTGGCTGGAGGCAGGGGCGCAGGCGCCCCTCGCCGCTTGCATCCCACCCGCGAGCAATGGGGCAGCTGCTGCTTTGATCTGGGGCGGGGAGCGGGGGTCCCAGGTGAGCTCTTCCCACTGTGCCGCGGCGTCCCAGCACCAAGCCTGGGTCCGGGCCGGGGTTGAACAGTGTCAAACCTCCCTCCGTCCCGGTCTCCCCAGGGCGCGCTCCAGTGCCCCGGTTCGTGGGGGTCTCACCCCTTCCTCTCCCCGATTTCCAGGCCTCTCCGGCTGTGCTCTCTGCACAGACCCATAAATGAAGTGTAATAACCCAAGCGGTGATTGTTTTCCCTGCAATAGCTGTGGAAATCTCTCCCCTGAGAGCGCCGAGCTGCCAGCCCCGGGTATTAGATCACAATCCCACTAACCTTCCTGTCCCCTGGGCCATAGCTTGCCGCCACCGCCCGCGGAGCCAGGCACTATTTATTATATCTGCTGGCCTGGGCGCGCGGCGGCCTGTGCCGGGAGCCTGATGGGGCTGGAAGGCAAAAGGCCCTCGGGGGGCAGGCGGAGACGGATGCCAGGCTCGGCCTGCCCCGTGGATGGACATTGCGCCCGGGGCCGTGGGGTGCGGGAGCCCAGGTCCTCCCCGATGCAGGCAGGGGGTTGCGGTTGCTCCGCCGTGCCCCAGGGCCGTGTCTCCGAGAGCTGGGAGCTGCTTCATGCTCTTCGGGGAGCATCGGCGTGCAAAGACCCCGGCGAGCGTGGCCGGGACCACCGGCTGCTCCCGCCGGCTGACGGAAAGCCCCTGGGAGCATCCTGGCTTCTTCCTGCCCCATCAGCAGGCCGTAGCGGGGCAGCGTCGTGCATGGTGCCCTCTCCGGGTAGCACTTCCTTAGGCTGCTGTTGGTGCATTTGCTGTGCCCGGGGGCGGTTTGCCTGCTCAGGCGTGTTGGGGCATGACGTGGACGAGGAGCAGTGCAAAGCGGTGCCCCGTGGCTCATCTGTTGCTCGTGGCTCCTGGAGCAGCAGGCCCCCAGGCACAGGAGCAAGGGGCGTCCCCGCTGCTTGCAGAGGTGGGACATTGCAGCTTTGCTGCCCGGCAGCCTCAAACACCGCGAATCCGACCCAGGCCGTGCGCTGTAGGATCCGGCCACGCTCCCACGTGTCCCCCACGTGCCCAGGACTCGCCTGCAGTGCCCTTTGCTGCAGTGCCGAGGGTGGCATGCGGTCACCGGCATGCCAGGGCGGTTGTGTACTTGGAAAGAGATGCTCTCCCGTGGCAGGGCACGGATCGGGGCCACGAGAGGGTCCCTTTTCCCGGAACCGGCCCCCTTCCCCCCGCCCGTTGCTCTCCTGTCTGCCGTGCCGCGCTCCAGCCCCTAACGGCTGCTCTGAGCCCACAGCCTGATTGAATTTGGAAGCCTTTGTTTACAGATGTCTGGCTGTACAGGGGTATTTATTGAATTTTCCATGAAATGTTGCTCCCCTAATGCTATAAAGAGCTGCCCACATCAGAGGCGCTGCACGTTAACGGATCGGGTTACGCCGAGATGCATCGCTCTCCTGCGCCGGCCACGTTTCACACTTGCCGGGGGCTGGGGGAGAGCGGATGTCCCCGTGCCTGCCCTGCCAGGCGGCTGCCCGTGGCCCGTTGCACCCCGGCATGCCTCGCTCTCTCGGAGGGCAGCCTGTCCTGCAGCCGGGAGGGTTCGGGCGAGACCTCTTCTCTGCCGACGAAGGGATTTAGGTGCCTCCAGGGCTGGCCGCTGCAGAGAGAAGAGGCTGGGGGGATGGCGGCGAGCCCGAGACAGCCGGGCACGTCCTTTGTCCTGGCGCCGTCGTCCAGACCCTCGCAAGCGAAGCGGAGGAGCCGGCTTCCCCAAGGAGACCCCCGCCGCCTCCCCTGACCTCGGCGCATCGCTCCTAACCTCCGGCGTGGGCAGGAAGGGAGGCTGAGCCTGGCCCGCGGAGGGCACATCCGGCGCGGTGGCAGCTGGAGGAATGCCTCTTCCTTCCTCGAGAGAGAGAGAGGAGCACAAAACCATCTTGCAAAGCGCTGGGTCAAGAGCCCCAGGATCCCCGATGTAAAATAAATGGTTCTCGGGAGAGAGCATGTGTTCACCATGTTAGAAAAACAACCCCCTGCAAACAGCACATACCGCACGCGGCCCGGGGCGGGGGGCCGCGGGCCCAGCATCAGAGCAGCACCCCGCCCCCCGTGCCGGCCGTATCTCCACGCCGGGCCCGGGGAGGGCCGGGACGGTCATGGGATTGTTTTCTCAGATTCGATCGGTTTATTTATCCTTGGTCCAAGCTCCCATCTGGTCCGACTTCAAAGGGGGGCTGCAGCGAAGTGGGGAAGCCACCAAGAGAGACTCGGCAAACAGCAGTTGTGCAAAGTATATAAATATTCCCGGACACAGAAGTGACTGTGTCTGACGCGCCGGCAGGTGTGGCCGCGGACGCCTCGTCCTCTGCTCGCCCCGTCCCGTACGTGCCCCTCTGCTATTCGCATGAGCTCGGGCACGGATGGCACGAATGCCTGGACCAAAAATGCTCCCTCCTTTCGTGTAACACTCAAGCCCTTGAAGGCTGCCCCTGATTGCAAGTGCGTTGGGGGCAGCCGGAGATGCCCTGGGTCTGAACGCTGGGGCTGTGCCCCTCTTTCCCCTCTGTATTGGCAGGTGACGTATTAGACGTGGCCCCTGCCAGGCTCAGGCTCCGGCGGGTCAGAGGGGAAGGTTTAAATTGGGACCCTTCACCCGTTTGAAGCCCCGCTTCAATGGATGGAGATGGAGTCCAGGGGGACTGTGAGTGCTGCCCGACGGAGCCAGGACTGCTCAGCAGTGTGTCATGAGGCCTGTACTGCTCCCTGCAGAGGGAGATTCCTGCTCCCGTCCGGTGAAGCAGACGGCGGCCACGACGGTCCGGGAGGAGCAAGAAGCTGGGGGGTTTTGAGGTCTCTTATCAGACCAGCTCTCTCGTCGGCAGATGCTGGAGGAGCAGAGACCAGATGGACCCAGGCCCACGTCCCGAGGAGCTGCCCCCAAAGGCACCCCCCCCCGCCCCCCCCAACAACCTCACTTAAAC